ACCTTTTGCCTGCAGCTTGGAGGCAAACATCTCCACCTTTGACTTATTTCCCCCCTCCCCTGTGGCCATGTCTGGAAATAGTTAATAATAATAATAATAGTAATAGTACTCTGAGCGACACTACAACCCATCCCATGGGGTGAGGGGGTTTGTTGGCGTGATTAATCTCTAATTGTTTTGAGATCAGAGGCTGAGTAGGTGCCTTGGAAGTACGAAGCTATTAATTTACTATCCCTTTCTCATTAGAATACCGAAACAAGTCAGAGAAGTTGCCAGCAAGGCCTTCTGTTCATCATGTGAGTAGTGCAGTGGAATATTTGAATCAGGGTTGGCGCCAAGGGTAGGCCACACAGGGCATATCCCAGCAGGAGGCCCCGTGCCAACCCCTAAAGCGGAGGCGGCCAGTGTGGTTCCCTGCAGGTGCAGTTGGACTTCAGCTCCCAGCGTTTGGGTAGTGCTGACGGATTCCTCCCGTATACAGTGCTACCTCGGGTTAAGTACTTAATTCATTCTGGTGGTCCGTTCTTAACCTGAAGCACCACTTTAGCTAATGGGGCCTCCTGCTGCTGCCGCGACACCGGAGCACGATTTCTGTTCTTATCCTGAAGCAAAGTTCTTAACCTGAAGCACTATTTATAGGTTAGCAGAGTCTGTAACCTGAAGCGTATGTAATCTGAAGCGTATGTAACCTGATGTACCACTGTATGTGTTTGTTGCAAGGCACGCCAATCCCATGGAGGTCACGGCACATGTTTACCACGCGAAACCGCTGCACATTTTTGCCACACGACCACCACCTCCCTGTCTTTCTCCGCACAACATGATACTCTTCAGCAGCTAATGAACAATCCGATTAATCATAGCATCTATTATTCAACTGAGGGAAAAAGCTGAGGCAGGTGTTTCGAGGCGGATTAGCGCTGCTGAAAATACGGCACACGGCCTTCACTCCAAGACGGCGTTGCACAGTAGCCAAATCAGGCTCTTGTCTCCACTGCCTCCATTATCACACCAACTCTTTGATGGGATTTGAGAGAAGGGTTGGGAAGGAGTCGCACTAGAAGTAATTAGGCTCTGCTCTGCTCTTAGGCAGCTGAGGGTGGGACAAGAGCCTTTGTTTGACTGGAACTAGTCCTCCAAACCAAATGGAAAATGAAGGGAAGGAATGCAAACAAAAATACAGGTCCCAAAGACTATATCCAAATACGGATGAGAGAATGTGTCAGTTTCAGAGTCTCCTTTCCCCAATCTCATCTTAAGATACTCCACGTTTCCACATCACTTTGTGGCTCCCCACCCCACCCCCGTTTGCAATATCATTTTAATATATTACTGTATCGTTCATACCCTCCAACATTTCTCCGATGAAAATAAAGACATCCTATTCAATAATAATAATTATAATAATTTTACTATTTTACACCCTGCCCATCTGACTGGGTTGCTCCAGCCACTCTGGGCGGATTTCAACCCATGTAAAAACATAGTAAAACATTAAACATTAAAAGAACAGCCCGACATACAGGGCTGCCTCCTGGTAGCTCAGGGTCAGATAACTCCATAGCCACCCACATTTCTCCAATGAAAATGAGGACGCCCTATCATACCTTCTGGGATGTGGGTGGCGCTGTGGGTTAAACCACAGAGCCTAGGACTTGCCGATCAGAAGGTCAGTGGTTTGAATCCCTGCGACGGGGTGAGCTCCCGTTGCTCGATCCCTGCTCCTGCCAACCTAGCAGTTCGAAAGCACGTCAAAGTGCAAGTAGATAAATAGGTACCACTCCAGTGGGAAAGTAAACGGCATTTCCATGCACTGCTCTGGTTCACCAGAAGCGGCTTAGTCATGCTGGCCACATGACCCGGAAGCTGTACACCAGCTCCTTCGGACAGTAAAGCGAGATGAGTGCCGCAACCCCAGAGTCATCTGCGACTGAACGTAACAGTCAGAGGCCCCTTTACCTTTACTTTATCATACCTTCCAATATTTCTCTGATGGAAATAGGGGAAATCGGACATTCCAGGATCAAATCAGAAACTGGGGTGGGTTCTGTAAATCTGGGACTGTTCCCTGGAAAATAGGGACACTTGGAAGGTCTGACAGTTTGTAACATTCCAGTAAGAAATAGGAAATAAATAGTAGTAAAAACCCAGTGCAAAATGGCAACAGCAACAACAAAACCAGGGTTCACAGTCATTACCTCATCAAATAAAGGGCGTCCTCAAGAGACTACATATTGAACCAGATGTTACAACGAAAACCAACAGATACAGAAAGAGTACAAAACAAATGTTATGAATACCAATTGAAGCCATTTTGCATTTCGACTTGCCATCCTTGTGATTGTCCTTTCATAAGTAATAAATGGGTGGCAAAGGTAAAGGTAAAGGGACCCCAGACCATTAGGTCCAGTCATGACCGACTCTGGGGTTGCGGCGTTCATCTCGCTTTATTGGCCGAGGGAGCTGGCGTACAGTTTCCAGGTCATGTGGCCAGCATGACTAAGCCACTTCTGGCGAACCAGAGCAGCGCACGGAAACGCCATTTACCTTCCCGCCGGAGCGGTACCTATTTATCTACTTGCATTCTGATGTGCTTTCGAATTGCTAGGTTGGCAGGAGCAGGGGCTGAGCAATGGGAGCTCATCCCGTCACGGGGATTCGAAACACCAACCTTCTGATCGGCAAGTCCTGGGCTCTGTGGTTTAACCCACAGCGCCACCCGCGTCCCTAAATGGGTGGTAAGAGGAGGAAAAATCCTTAGGCTTAGCTGCACCCTGAGACAGCCTTAATTTATAAGCTGTGAGGATATGAGAGGGCTAGAGAGAACTGTGAGAGGATGGGGGTGTGGGTGAGGTGTAAAAGAAGGAGGGAGCGGTGGGCGGGGTGGGTGGTATTTTTTGCATTTCATGTGATCTTTCACATGACATAAAAGCCATTTCTCTCTCTCTCTCTCTCTCTCTCTCTCTCTCTCTCTGTGTGTGTGTGTGTGTGTGTGTGTTCCAATATCGTTCCAATAACAGCCTCATTATAACAATACCAATTTTATCCAATTGATGCACTTATTAATGCCAGTTATTCAAAAGACAAATTATACAATTAAACTGGCCCCCTCGCATGCTAGAGTTGACGAATTCATTCTTCTACATTTTTTCTGCGTTCCAGAATTTTTAATAATTTCCATTCCATTCCATTCAGATATAATAATCCCTTATATAACAGCTACATAAAAGCCAATTCTAAAAATCTAGAAGCACAACGCTCATTTCCGTGTTAACTGTGACCAGGAAAAAAAAATCCATTTGCAACCATGTTAACCCAGAAATTTAGCACAACATGGTGGTATATTGATCAAAAAGTCAGTTCCATGACACAACAGTGTAAAAGGAAAGCATTATAACCAGGAAAATGCAATAATCCCCATGTCTGAATGCACCCATTAACTCAGTGTATCAAAGGCCTGAGGGGAAAGGTAAGCATTTTCCTAATGCAGAAAAGATGTCTTTGAGGTTGGGGAGGTTAGACATCGTAATGTCAAGCAACTGTTATCCACACTTTTCCTGGTGCATTTTCCCATCACTTTCCTGTGGAACGCCCTCCCATCAGATGTCAAGGAAATAAACAACTAACTGATTTTAGAAGACATCTGAAGGCAGCCCTGTTTCGGGAAGTTTTTAATGTTTGATGTATTACAGTATTTTAATATTTTTCTGGAAGCCGCCCAGAGTGCCTGGGAAAGCCCAGCCAGATGGGCAGGGTATAAATAAATTATTCTTATTCTTATTCTTCTTATTCTTCTTATTCTTATTCTTATTATTTGATCACCCCACACTTACCAGTGCATTTCCCTATCACTTTCCAAACCACAAAATATTCTTGTTTTTAAGGTTGATTTGTTGCACCAGGGCAATAGAGCCCTTTAATCCTCTTTAGTTGCTTAAACCTCAATTTCCCGGGATCCCCTCAAATCCCTCCTACAAAACACTGACAGTCTGGAGGCGCCCTAAGGAAGGCAGTCTGTCAGCTCTAGGTTGCAGTAAGGATGCAGGAGCAGGAGGGTGGGAGCAGCTCGGGATGAATGGCCAGGGTGGGGGGTTGCTGCCTGCGGGGGCTGCCTCATTCTTCCTAATGGCAGAGCTGGCTCAGTGACCACTGCAGAAGCAAGGCAATGGAGCAGCAGCCTTTGCTCACCTTGCTCTCTGTCCCACTAGGCACCTGTGTGGATTGGGCCCAAAGGAAGAGAGCAAGCAAATGGACAGGAACACCAACTGCAAAAAGGAGGCAGGCCCACTAAGAGCCAAGAGAAGAGAAGAGAAGAGAAGAGAAGAGAAGAGAAGAGAAGAGAAGAGAAGAGAAACCAGTACTCTATGTAAGGAGGACAAAATCACATGGAGAGTTAAACCAGCAAATTTTGACGTGCAGTCCCAGCCTGATTAGGTCACCCAGCTCATTGCTGTTGATGACATACATAGAATCATAGACTTGTAGTGTTGGAAGCGGCCCTGAGGATAATCTAAGTCGAATCCCCAGTGTCAGGGTACTGCCATTGGATCAGGGTGGGGAAGCAGAGGGGCAGTTGGGTTACAGGGAACCTCTGAAAATCTTGCGAAGCAGTTCCTCTTCCTGTGGTGAGGAAAGCCACACCTCCAGTGGGGAAGAGGGGAAAGGACCAGAGGATGCTGCTGGGAGCCTCAGCACCGCTCCTGGCCAAGCCAACCAGGAGGGAAGCACGCCCCTTCCATTGCCCACCCTGCACAGAGGTGTAAAATGCAAAGAAGGAAGGAAAAGCCTGGGGGTGACTAAGTTATTATGTTGGGGGAGGTCCCGGAAACAACCACTCCCAGATTCTGCTAGCGATTGAGGCAGACATGAACTTGTGGCTCTGCACTGTAAATAGTTTTGCACCAAAATAAAACCTGTAAAAGACAGGTCGGAGTCCTGACTGGTTACTCACGAGCAACCGCCATTGCCATCTGACACCCGGCAACGCAAGAATATGCTGCCGTCCCACATGGGGAATGAACCTGCAACCTTGGCGTTATCAGCACCACACTCTGACCAAATGAGCTATCCCTTTCCTCATATCATGGGGCTCCCTCATCCCCAGTCTGCCCTGCCCCTTCTTGACTGCGACTAAATGTGCGATCAGCTCCTCTCAGTCCCCATTCAAGCACATCTCAAAAGCCGTACGACATGCTTTGGCACTGTTTCTTGCAATATTGGCACCCTCAGCTCATTTGAGGTGGCCACCTTGGCAGGACTTGCAAGGAAACCCCCTCTTTTTAAGTTCTCTAGAGTGTTCTCATGTGGTGAAGGCTCCACGTTCCCTCCAATCAGGGGAAGAAACGTGTTGTTTTATTGGGGGGTCTGCGGAGGACTTTGGCTGCTCTCATTATGTCTCCTGCAAGGACTTGTGCAGGATAATTTTTGCTAAGACTGTCTGTTGTTTTGTGCCAAGATGGTTGGTACCTCCAGACTGCCACTGTTTTGTGGGAGAAATTCAACCACATACCGGAAATTTAGGTTTGCACAACTGAAGTGGATTAAAGTGCTCTGTCGCCCTGGCACAATAAATCCACTTTATGTTTTAAAACTGGAATTTTTGTGGTTAGGAATGCAAGAGGGAAATACACTGAAACGTGTGGCATGAACAACTGATTAATGGAAGGGGTATACAGTGGTACCTCAGGTTAAGTACTTAATTTGTTCCGGAGGTCCGTACTTAACCTGAAACTGTTCTTAACCTGAGGTACCACTTTAGCTAATGGGGCCTCCTGCTGCTGCTACGCCACCGGAGCACGATTTCTGTTCTCATCCTGAAGCAAAGTACTTATCCCGAGGTAATGTTTCTGGGTTAGCGGAGTCTGTAACCTGAAGCGTATGTAACCTGAAGCGTATGTAACCTGAGGTACCACTGTATAGCCACTGCCACTGAAGGCTCATTGTCATATAACTACCCCATACACAAATTAATCCATTAGATATTTTGGAAAGTGGTTTATCTGTTCTCTTTACATTCAGACGCCTCTCAATATATCATTGCCAAACTTGGCACGAGGGTCCCCAAGGTGGGGGTGGCAATCTATGTTGACGTTTGGGCACTGACCACCATTTTGAATTAAGATGGCAGACCCAAACATCACCTTGGCGCTCATTTTATGGCATAGCTTTGGCCATCTCAAAGATATTGTTGCAAACATGGCATGAGGGTTTCTGAGGTGGAGGCAGAGATCTCTGTAGGCACTTGGACATTGGCCACCATTTTGATTCAAGACAGTGAACCAAAACATTACTGCGGCGTGACTTCACCCTTTTTCTGGGTGATGGGTACAAACACACAAATTACGCTAGCCATTTAAAAATCACAGTATTATTTGGTTTCCAAACCACTAGTGGTTAATAAATATCAGACACAGGGTGCCTTCAAAATGTCACTATTTGGCAGAAAGATTCGAGCACATACCAGAACTTTAGGTTTGTGCATTTGGAGTGGATTAAAGGGCTCTGCCACTCCAGTACAACAAATCCACTTTTAAAAAGTATCAGATTGGAAAGAATGCATGTCTTTTTTCTTCCTCTTGACATGATCTTAAGAACGTTTTGCTTGTTTTATATCAGTTTGTTTGTTTTAATGTTTTGTCTGTAATAAAAAAGAAAGAACCAGGCAGCTTGCTCTTTGCAAAATGACGTGGAAATGCATTGAAAAATGTGAAATGAAGGAATCAATTTGATTTGAATTAATTTTTAATGAAATGATTTTAGAATGTTGTACTATTTTATTGTTGTTAGCCACCCTGAGCCCGGCTTCGGCTGGGGAGGGCGGGATATAAATAAAATTTATTATTATTATTATTATTATTATTGTTGTTGTTGTTGTTGTTGTTGTTATTATTATTAAGAAGGCATGTATACACCCTGCAAGCATATCAGAACCAATGCTGAATGAACGCTTATTGTCATATAACCACCCTGTATACAATTCAGAACAAATGGTCAATAAATACCAGACATAGTCTTAACCACTGCATAAGCTTCATGCAGGCTAATCAGGATGAATACTGAATAAACAAGTATTTTTGTGGGGAGTCCCATGTGTTGTATCAATCTGCTTATGTCAAGAAATGTGCTGAAAATGAGCCTATCACCAGGTGTGCCCATAGCACTTCATCCATGTACACTAAGGCTGCAAGCTTTAGCTAGTTTAAATCAATCGATTAATCAACCAAACCTCCAGTTGATTAATTGTTGGAGAGTCACTTAATGGGGTCAGTGTTTATTTTGCGGGCCATAGAATTCAAGTCATTTTGGCTTTGGTTTTTTTTTAAAAAAAAATTAAACCAGCATTTTCTGAGCACTATCTCAGATATCTCTACAATAGCCCTATAAGGTAAAGGTAAAGGTAAAGGTAAAGGGACACCGGACCATTAGGTCCAGTCGTGACCGACTCTGGGGTTGCGGCGTTCATCTCGCTTTATCGGCCAAGGGAGCTGGCGTACAGCTTCCGGGTCATGTGGCCAGCATGACTAAGCCACTTTTGGTGAACCAGAGCAGTGCACGGAAACGCCGTTTACCTTCCCGCCGGAGCAGCACCTATTTATCTACTTGCATTTTGACGTGCTTTCGAACTGCTAGGTTGGCAGGAGGAGGGACCGAGCAACGGGTGCTCACCCCGTCGCAGGGATTCGAACCGCCAACCTTCTGATTGGCAAGTCCTAGGCTCTGTGGTTTAACCCACAGCGCCACCCGCATCCCTTGCCCTATAAGGTAGATAAGCATAATTAGCCAAATACTGTAAGATAAGGGATGGGGCTGAGGCTGAGTAGTGACTTGCCTGAGGGAACCTAGTGAGTTCATAGCAGAAAGTCAAGACTTGAACCAGGGACTTCAAGCAGCTAAGAACTGTTAAGCTAAGAACCCCAGATCAGAACAGGAGCCAAAAACAGCAGCTCATGTAGCAAGGCTGCAGGCTATTTTGATTTTGAAACACAATCTTTCCTTCCAACAAGGAGTGGAGCCTTTTTAAATTAGTTTGCAGGTTATCACACTTCCTTTGATACTACGTATATCAAAGTTTCGACCACATGCAGATTTACTGAAACGTAACCGATCAATCAAAAGAGATTCACTGGTTAAAAAGACAATCAACCAACTAAATGTTCTGGAATCTGTGGCTGGGTTTAATCATTTGTTCCGATTCACAGAATTGTAGAGTTGGAAGGGAAACAGAGGATTATCTAACCCAACCCTCTACAATGAAGGAATATGCAGCTGTCCCATATGGGGATCAGCACCATTAATACTATACCCTAACTGAGAGCCAGTGTGGTGTAGTGGTTAAGAGCGGTAGACTCGTAATCTGGTGCACTGGGTTCGATTCCCTGCTCCTCCACATGCAGCTGCTGGGTGACCTTGGGCTAGTCACACTTCTCTGAAGTCTCTCAGCCTCACTCACCCCATAGAGTGTTTGTTGTGGGGGAGGAAGGGAAAGGAGAATGTGAGCCGCTTTGAGACTCCTTAGGGTAGTGATAAAGCGGAATATCAAATCCAAACTCTTCTTCTACTCTTCTTCTAACAATATACAACACCCTCTTCACATATCTAATGGGCAGGACACTGGTTGATTAAATTTATACCCCATCCTCCCAAAGGAGCCTAGGACAGGAAATATCAAAATGTCAAAATAGCTCAATTTAAACAATCCACTCCAGTGGGACCTTGGGAAGTGGGTGTGGCCTGGAGGAGTCCTGGGGGCCAGATCAAGAGGTATGGAGGGCCACATTCAGACCCCAGCCATGAGGTCTCCTGCTCCTCATTTACACAAAGTAAGGCAAGCACACCATGTTGAATTATTTTTATACCTTAAAACAGGGGTGAGAAGACTGCCGATCAGGATGTCCTGGTAGATCATTGCGGAAACTCTGAGGAAACGCTAGTTGAATACAGTGGTACCTTGGTTCCCAAACAGCTTAGTTGCTGAACAAATCCACTCCCGAATGCCGCAAACCCAGAAATAAGTGTTTCGGTTTGCGAATGTTTTTCGGAAGCCGAATGTCCAACACGGGTTCTGCTTGAGTACAGGAAGCTCCTGCAGCCAATCGGAAGCCGTGCCTTGGTTTTCAAATAATAATAATAATAATAATAATAATAATAATTTATTATTTATATCCCGCCCATCTGGCTGGGCTTCCCCAGCCACTCTGGGCGGCTTCCCAAAAAAATATTTAAATACTGTAATCCATCAAACATTAAAAGCTTCCCTAAACAGGGCTGCCTTCAGATGTCTTCTAAAAGTCTGATAGTTGTTGTTCTCTATGACATCTGGTGGGAGGGCATTCCACAGGGCAGGTGCCACTACCGAGAAGGCCCTCTGCCTGGTTCCCCGTAACTTGGCTTCTCGCAGTGAGGGAACCGCCAGAAGGCCCTCGGAGCTGGACCTCGATGTCCGGGCAGAACGATGGGGGTGGAGATGCTCCTCCAGGTATACTGAATGGTTTCGGGAGTCAAATGGACTCCTGGAATGGATTAAGTTCGAGTACCAAGGTACATTTAAAGCACATGCTGCTCCCAAAGAAATCTGGGAGCTGTCGTATAAACCCTACATAGCTACAATTCCAGGCACCCTTCACAAACTGTAGTTCATGGGGTTCTTTTCACATGCTTTAAATGTATGGTGTATACACACCCAGAGAGAAATAAAGTGTTGATCTCTGTTTGTGCTTAAGGCTTTAAATGTGCTTTAGTTCATGCGGCATTCAGAGTGTGTGAGTTCTTTAAAACAATTTTTTAAAAAACAAAACACCTTGGTTATATCAATCTGGGTGGGACAGTGGGGCACGTTTGGGCAAGGAGTGTATGTCACACAGTCTTCTCTTCCAGCTCATCACAATGTACCATTAGTCTGCCTGACTGCGCTGTTTAGTCTTGACAAAATGCTAATTGTTGTATGGGACAGCTGCCTGCAACTCTCCCTTCGCCTCCTCTGTACAAGTCGCTGGACCCAATCTTTCCAGGTGGCGGAGCTCTGAGCTGTGGGCTTCACAGCTGTTGAAATGACAACTCCTATCAGCAACTCTGTAATGAAGGAGGGTTACCATGAACCAAACGGCTTTGATTTGCATTCCCCACCCTCCCTTCTCTCTTTCTCTCTCTCACACAAACACACGCACACCCTACGTGTTCTTCCAAAAACGGCTCCAGATATCACCAGGAGAAAGATAAAAAAGAAAGGTAACGGACCCCTGGACGGTTAAGTCCAGTCAACGGCGAATATGGGGTTGCAGCACTCATCTTGCTTTCAGGCCGATGGAGCCAGCTTTTGTCCACAGACAGCTTTCCGGGTCATGTGGCCAGCATCACTAAACCGCTTCTGGCACAACGGGACACTGTGACGGGAGCCAGAGCGCACAGAAACGCTGTTTACCTTCCTGCCACAGTGGTACCTCTTTATCTACTTGCACTGGTGTGCTTTCGAACTGCAAGGTTGGCAGGAGCTGGGACAGAGCAATGGGAGCTCACCCCATCATGGGGATTTGAACTGCCAACCTTTTGATCAACAAGCCCAAGAGGCTCAGTGGTTTAGACCACAGCGCCACCTGCGTCCCACCAAACTAGGAGATAGGAGCATAAGCATTGCCTTCATTGCTCAGACCAAGGGTCCATCAGGATTCTGTCTCTGACAGCAGCCAATTGGATGCTTTTGGTCACTCAGTAGTGAGGCGTAAGCCCCTTGGGAGAGGTGGGTGTAGCTCAGTGGTAGAGTATCTGCTTTGCAAGCGGAAGGTGTCAGGTTCAAACCCTGCCATCTCCAAGTACAGATAGGAAAGTTCCCTGGACAGTTGCTGCCAGTCAGTGTAGACAATTCTGAGCTAGGTGGACCAGTGGTCTGATTCAGTACAGTGGTACCTCGGGTTACATATGCTTCAGGTTGCAGACTCCGCTAACCCAGAAATAGTACCTTGGGTTAAGAACTTTGCTTCAGGATGAGAACAGAAATTGTGCTTCGGCAGCGTGGCGGCAGCAGCAGGCCCCATTAGCTAAAGTGGTGCTTCAGGTTAAGAACAGTTTCAGGTTAAGTACGGACCTCCGGAACAAATTAAGTACTTAACCCGAGGTACCACTGTATAGGCAACCTTCTCATCTTCCCCACTATGCAAATAGAGGCACAATTGAGTACTGATAACACCAACGTTCTTAAAAATTAAAATTCACACACTGAGGAACCACTGTTAACACACTGATCGCTGAAACCTTTTCTGCGATTCCTGTGCATTGTGCTCCTTTACCCTACATCACACGACCCTGTGCTGGCTCCTGGAGCAGCTGCAATTGAGAAATGTAAATAATAATAATAATAATAATAGTAATAATAATTTATTCCCCAGGCACTCTGGGCAGCTCCAGCCACTCAATCACTCAATTAGTAACAGCAATAATTTCTTTTAATAAAATATAGTGTTATTTAAATTTAATAGAATGCTTCATCTCATAATGGATCTGATTGTACATATTACAGAGCAGCTCTAAGTAGGAATGGGAAGATCTGTCAATTTCAGTTTCTCACAAGTTTCTGATTTTTCCAATTTCAAGTTCAGGCCTCCACATTACTATGCTTTTTAAAAATAGTCTTCCAGAAAATTCACTAGTATGTTAGAGCGAATTTCTCCTGATACACATATTTTCATATGTAATTTTGTCTAATATGTAAAGCTCCCCCCCCCCCAATAAAATATAATGTATTTTGAACAAGTCTTCCTCCCAGGTGTGCCAGAGAAGAGGGGGGAATGCGACCCTTTTAAAACACAAATTGCACTATTCATTTAAAAATCACAATACTTTGGGGTTTCTTTGAATTTCTAGTCAGCGCTGGGCAATCCCCACTTGTCTACGCAAACATAATTGCTACACATTTGGAAAAAGTTGCTTGCTTTTCTGTTCTCTGTTCATCTGGACACCTCTCAAGATATCACAATGAATTTTTGCATGAGATCAAGAAACAGGTTTTTGACTGTGTTTGGATACAATTGGAGGCCATTTTGAATAAAAATGACAGACTGAGCCTTTCAAAACAGCATCAATTTCAACCATAGGCTGAGAGGAAGTGGTGTATTGGAAACTCAGAGAATCACAGCTCCTGAGTGTTTGTTTTTGTTGTTTGTTTGTTTGTTTGTTTGTTTTAAGAGCAGAAGCAATGAAGCCACCTGTCCAGGGCACTAGTGTGACGGACAGACCTTTCCTACTCTAGCAAGCAGATGAGGTGATAATGAGGCTTTTAAGTGTTTGTAACAGATAAGCATAGAGGAAGTTGGATAAAGAAGAACATAACGAAAGCAGAGATGAGAAGTGTTAAGTTGTGGGTGAACATATCTTTTTTTTTTTTAAATGATATTTATTAAAATTTCAGAGGAAAAAAAAGAGTTACACAAAAACAAGTAGTAAAAATACAAGAAAAATACAAAATACAAAATACAGAATAAAAGAAAAAAAAGAAAAATGGATCAATCTTTCCTTAGCTTACATTCATACCCTTGTTTCCCTGACCTCCTTGTACCTCCCTTTTTTGTATTCCAGTTCAATTAGTTAAGTCAGCAATTTCTTTCCCTCTTTGTTTTCTCATGATCCTTTAACTTAATATACTATAACTTTAAATTTTCATCTGTTATCAATCCTTTTTTTATACACCTTTATGGCATTACTGCTTAAACCACCTAGCTTCATTCCAACATCATTCTAACATTCATTAATTTTACAATATTTCTGTAAATAGTCTTTAAATTTCTTCCAATCTTCTTCCACCGACTCTTCTCCCTGGTCTCAGATTCTGCCAGTCATTTCCGCCAATTCCATGTAGTCCATCACCTTCATCTGCCATTCTTCCAGAGTGGGTAAGTCTTGTGTCTTCCAATACTTTGCAATAAGTATTCTTGCTGCTGTTGTGGCATACAAGTTGTGGGTGAACATATCAGACGACACAGCGATTCTTCAAACAGCTCTTGTTTATTCAGAGGCCAGAACAGAACTGAACTGAAGGGCTCAGTCAGCCTGCTTATATAGAGCTCCAGTACAACGTTACTGTAGCAACTTTCTAAAACTATCCAATCACTGAACATCACTTTCGATCCTTCATTTGCATAACTATCTACAGTATCCCCCTGCTGGCTCAGGGTGAGAACTTCAGTACATAACAAGAAGCATCTTTCCTTTTGATGGGATTCCTACTGCACGCTGGCAATTGAGACGGTAATGCATCTTAATGGAATCATTTACATTTCTAATTGAAAGCTTAATGTTGCATCTCGGATGGCTGAAGACTTCTGATTAGGGTTCAGCGCATTTTACAAATTGAATCAGAAGTTAGCACTGCTGAATTCAGTGGCGCTTACTGCAAGGAAAGCTATGGATCGCACTCATGCTTATCCTAAGACATTGGGAATTATGCTGTATACTGCTGCCGTCTGGTTTGTGTGCAAATTAATGCATCAAATACAGCTGCCCGTGTTTTTGGACTTTCCTGGGGTATGGCTCTGGGGGCAGTTATGATGAGCTCCTGCACTTCAAAATTTGCCTCTGCAACACTGATCAAGAGGAGATGAGCATATATTATATTAGGGGCTCCCAATATGTGGTCTGTAGACCAACAGTGGTCCTACTAGCTGCTTTAGGGTGGTCCATGGTGCATCTGTGAAAAACAGCAGGAGCAGTGACTGTGAACAGCAGTTGCATTGCAGTTAAAAATCAGATTGATTTTTAATTATATTTTTAATGCTTGTTTTCTTGCTTCTATTATGTTTTATTATTGTATTTTATATTGTATTCTATGGGATTCAAATTGCAATACAATAAAAGACAATAGAATAAAATAAGCAATAAAAACTTTTTTTGTATTTAGGGCTCATCTGCACTTGGCTTTTCTCATGCCTAGAAAGCACAGATCTGAACGGTTTTCTGTTTGCTCCGATTCAGCAGTAAAGAGCAGGTTTTCCCAGGGAAGGGGGCGGGGCAAGTGGAAGTGTGGATGAGCTTTTAGTTTTATTGATTTTAATGTAATAAGTGAACATATTACAGGTAACACAGGAGCAGCATGTCATAAACAGACATGACACCCCTGTGTTATATGCCCATGCTGAATATAACCAGTCTTGTCTCACGATTGCGAGGAAATTAAAGTATCCTCTCCTGTGTGCAGTCTGGGTCTGAATTATGTTTGCTCACAAAGCTTATAAATCTTGTTAAATTCATCATGCTTTGGCATGCCTTTAATTACCTGGCAATGGCAAGCAGAGAGGCAGTGTGAAGTAGTGGTTACATCAATGGTTCTCAAAGTGTGTGACAAACCACACTCGTGTGGCAGGTGAGAATGGCAAGTGTGTCAGGACAATTCAAGGACTATCAAAGAAACATCTGAACATTTCAAGGTAAAGGTAAAGGTAAATGTAAAAGACCCCTGGACATTTAAGTCCAGTCAAAGTCAACTATGGAGTAGTGGTGCTCATCTCGCTTTCAGGCCAAGGGAACAGGCATTTGTCCACAGACAGCTTTCTGGGTATGTGGCCAGCATGACTAAATCGCTTCTGGTGCAACGGAACACAGTGACAGAAACCAGAGCACACGGAAATGCCATTTACCTTCCTGACGCAGTGGTACCTATTTATCTACTTGCGCTGGTGTGCTTTCGAACTGCTAGATTGGCAGGAGCTGAGACAGAACAATGGGAGCTCACCCCGTCATGGGGGTTCAAACTGCCTACCTTCTGATCGGCAAGCCCAAGAGGCTGAGTGGTTTAGATCACAGTACCACCTGTGTCCCATGTACATTTCAGGGTAGTATAGCATGGTATAGAATCAATTAAAAAATAATAATAATCTTGGAATGTGGATAGATATCTTTTCAAAATGAGAGCAAGAGCATCAAGTGATACTGAGGACAATCCTGGTTGAGTTTTCCAGTGTGTTTTCTTATCAATAATAACACATGAGCAAATTTGTATTCTGAGCCCAGAGAAAAAGGGTTTGAGACCCACTGGGTTAGAGTGTCAGACTATTACCTAAGAGACCAGAGTTAAAATACCTACTCAGCCAGGAAACTCATTGAGAGACCTTGAACCAGTCACTGCCTCTTAGCTTAGCCTAACACTCTCATTAGGTTATTATGGGGATTAAATGAGGAGGGGGAGAACTATCTATGTCACCTTGCGCTCCTTGGAGAAAAAAGGTGGGATATGAATGCAACAAACAAACAAACAAACAAACAAATAATAACAATAATGCCTAATGTTCCGAAAGCACTATATCCCACTTTTGAGACTACCATGTGCAATGAAAACAGAATGACAGCATCTAGCACTGTACAGTTGCTACAATGGGGGTATCATGAAGTGGTCTGCCAAGACTCTCAATAGTTTTCAAGAGGTCTAGTCTGGGCAGTGACAGCAGTCACAAAATTAAAAGACACCTGCTTCTTGGGAGAAAGGCAATGACAAACCTAGACAGCATCTTAAAAAGCAGAGACATCACCTTGCCAACAAAGGTCCGTATAGTTAAAGCCATGGTTTTCCCAGTAGTGATGTATGGAAGTGAGAGCTGGACCATCAACAAGGCTGATCGCCGAAGAATTGATGCTTTTGAATTATGGTGCTGGAGGAGACTCTTGAGAGTCCCATGGACTGCAAGAAGATCAAACCTATCCATTCTTAAGGAAATCAGCCCTGAATGCTCACTGGAAGGACAGATCCTGAAGCTGAGGCTCCAATACTTTGGCACCTCATGAGAAGAGAAGACTCCCTGGGAAAGACCCTGATGCTGGGAAAGATGG